TGTTGGATTTAAGATTGGGAACGCTTCCCTGTTATCGACTGTTTCCATATTAATAGATGAAAATTTCTTTACCCACAGAGCCGGCCTCGCGATTAGTTCATGCGCGCCACCGCTATGAAATTCTGATTGAACAGTTCCCATAGGCCTGAGCAATCTCCCCTATTATCTCTGTGATGGCCACCTCATATTCACCAAAGAGGATTGGACAGAACCTCCAGGTACTTAGCCGGAATAGGTCACTAATTAGAAAAACGACCTTATGTACTCGATTGTACATCGTTAGTACATGATTGTACAATGCAAATTTTTGTTTGTACATTCAATTTAAAAAAATTAATCAAGTTTTTGCATGATGCTAGCCGGAAAAAACTGTACATTGCTTAATTGTGCTAAATTATGGGTCAGTTCCGAAGGAAATCGTTTGTACATTACGAATTTCATGTTTTTATTGTTTGTACAATCATTGTTAATTACTTAGGTTGAGGTGAACAATTATGATCTAACCCCACCCCCAGCAAAGCATTGATGGTTCCTGTATTATCGACTTTGGCGATTTATTCTCTGTTTGCATGCGTGTTTACAATATTAGTTCATTTTTTCCTGAAAAAAAACATTAAATTGAACAACATAATTGTTGATGAAGGATTAATCACCTTATTTGTACCTGTGCGGGAAATAGAAATACATATCTGCATTGTGATACGGGACACTGGCATAAGGGAAATCATTAGCCTCGAAGATTCTGACAGCGCGAAAGAGGTTATGTTTGACGAAAGATTGTCAAAAGGATCATTCCTGCAATAATCTTCGATCAAAAGCATTGACAATCACTGCAAACCCTGTGAGAAGGCTGTGTGTAACTGAGTGAGGTAAGCTTGCAAGCATTTTCAATAAATCCTTGTCAATTTTTCTCTGATTTTGATACCACTTTTTTTGGGGAGAACAATTGATAATTATTTCTACATCCTCTCTAGTTCCAAAGTCAATTCGCATTTCACATCGACGTCATGTTTTCAGTTCATCATTTCATTGCAGGTAAATCATTCATCGATNGTAAGCTTGCAAGCATCATTTTCAATAAATGCTTGTCAATTTTTCTCTGATTTTGATAGCACTTTTTTTGGGGAGAACAATTGATAATTATTTCTACATCCTCTCTACTTCCAAAGTCAATTCGCATTTCACATCGACGTCATGTTTTCAGTTCATCATTTCATTGCAGGTAAATCATTCATCGATTTCTGATGCAGCAGAATGTCCCAGCATGACCATTAGTCTGATGCAATAATGGATTATCGAGCGTCAGCTCTCACAGATGAACCCATAGTCATAACCCCTCGCCTTATTACGTTTTCAAGTTGAAGAAGAGTATCGAGGCACTGAGATACTTTATTATGTACTCAAATGTATCTGTGGTAGGTGTTCGAACATTCCCCAATCGAGAATCAATGTCTCTCGGAGTGTCAAAGTATAAACGACGTATCAGTGCTCTCCCCAAGAAGAATTTCAATGCTGTCGCAGAAAGAAATTGAGAATTGCCTCACA